TCCATCTCATTCCTAATATTCATTGTTTCTGTTAAAGAAGTGTAGTACATTTTTATTTCATAATGTTCTTACCCCAAGCAGGTAAGTTGGTTTTATTTATACCTACACATTAAATATTAACACATCTACTGAAAAAATTAAGTCTTCATTTGGAAATGAAATTGACATTGGGTACTTTGAGTTGGCTGTCAGAGTGGGTCACATGGAAGAACTTGGCCACATTTATTGGCCATATTTGGCCTAGTTTTCTGCATATGTTTGCCAGATGCAAAAGCCACTTTATCGCTGGAGGGCACAGAAACCTGGAACAAAGACTTGGAATTTGTGTTATTTTACTCATTGGGTATCTTGCTTTTTCATGGTATTTTGCCTAGAGAGATCTTATTATACAATAGAATATGATTGGAGAATGGGGCTTCCCTTTGCCCTCTGTCAGGTACAAAGTTTTATAGGATGCTCTTGTTGAGCATTTTAGGGAACACTGATGAAAAGTCTTTTTAAAAAAGAAGATTAAAAATGTGATCTCTGCCGGGAAAAATACAGTTCTATGTATGACTGGTTGAACAAATGTGCCAATTAGCACACATACGCTTAATTTAGGGCATCTCAATGTCTTGGAGAAGTTTTCATTTAAACTATGAAGCCAAAAACTATTAGTATTCAAATGTAGTTCACCTCTTATGTAAAAGACTTCAGAATTTTTGACAAATCAATCACACAATTAAAGGTCATACATTTATAGCAGATTCAAAACTCAAAACGAATAGAGATGTCAAAGCTTTGAGCATATTGGATGTTTACACATCAATAAGCAAGATGGCAGACATTTTCAGGCAGACCTTTTTTTTTTTTTTTTTTTTTTGCCTTTGCATGTTTTGGTAGTTCTTCAACTTGCAATTTCCATATAACATTTTTCATGTTTACATTAGCATATAATTAGCATATTTATAATTCTGTAGTAAGATGTGTAAATGCCTCTAACTCCCCAAGAGAAAAAATGACTATGGATTTTTATTTCCTTTAGTAAACTATTTCTAAACCATTTAGTATTTAGGGAATAATTGTAGTTTTTCTTTTTAATTAGAATTAATAGTTTAAGTACATTAGCCTGCTAAGTTAAAAATTTAAGTCAAGGATGTTAATGTTTCAAGAAAAGTATTTGAGTTGCAGAATTTGGAGGAACAGAATTTTACACATTTATGTTTCTTCACCACATTTTTCATTTGTTACTATTTAGCTACTGAAAAGTATTTTTTGGCATTCTCATAGAAACTTTGAATGATTAGATTTCTAGACACTAACTCAAATCTCAAGTCATTTCTGGAGAGAATCTCTCTGTTGTAACTCTTCTCTGATTGCTGGAAAATGGCATATTTAAGGAAAATATTTTAATGAATTTTACCAAATTTATTTTTTAATGCTGCATGTATACATAGGGTAAGTAAAAAAAGAGAAAACATTGAGGAAATGTGTATTCAATAAATAAAACATGTTGAAAATCAAGCAGCTGAAGTATTTCATTGGCTGTCTTACCTTTCACCTAAAATAGGTGTAAAAATGAGTGAGGTTATCCATATCCCTAGGCCTCTCATATACACACACACACACACACACACACACACACCCTTTGCAGTTCTGTTTTGATTAGTGTGGTTCAGTGAATCATTAATGCCACAGGTTAATAGACACGTGAAATGCACATGCAGTATTCCTTCAATTCTGGGATGGCATGCAAAATGGAACCAACTATGGCTGCTCCATACAGTGGTGCATTGAGACTCTTGTAAAAGGAAATAGCCAGTGATAAATGAGCAAGAATTCTTTTTTTCAGCTTTAATTGAGTTTACTGGTACATTTTAGGGATATAGTACAGTTACATTCATTGTTGGGATCTTGTACCTCTACATGACAGGTCTTGGTTCTCATTTTTTCTCCTTGTCCCTGCCCTCCCTTCACCCCCTCCTCTCCTCCCCATCTGCAAACACTTTATTTCCTTCTTTTCATTATCACACATTTTTTCTTTTCCCTTATTACCTTTCCCCCTACCCATTCCACCTTCCCTACACCTTTAGCCCCTTTCTTCCCATTTCACAATTGTCAGTAATCTTATTAGGATCTTATGTATTATTGTTGTTTATTCACACCAGAGAAACTATTCAGTATTTACACATGTGTGACTTATCTATTTCACTTAGGAGTATATCCTCAATATGTATCCATTGGGCTTTTAGGGTTTGCAAAACAATTTTGTCATGCCTCAAATGGTTAGTAAAATACATGGTAGTTCTACAAGTAGAAGTTTCATTGCACATGTTGTTGTGAGGGACAGTATAGGTAAAAATGTTTATCTCAATAAATAGACAAATCACAAACAGAAAGATTGCAGCATTGAGTTCTACAAGAACGCAGAAGTCATGAGAACTACCCACTTAGAATTCTTGAGAACTGAAACTTCTACTTGTAGAACTACCTACCATGTATCTTTACTAACCATTTGAGGCATGACAGAATTGACTTGCAAACCCTAAAAGCCCTATGATACTTCAAATCATATAGCAGTAATTTTTCCTGGGTGTCTTATAATTATACTTTTCTGTCTCTCCCATTGTCTTGTATTTTAACCAAGCGGAAGGAAAATTACCTTGTTAGATTTCTAATCCTTAGCACAATGTTTGTTATAAATGCTAGCTGAGCAAAGAAAGGAATGAATAAAAACGTTTAATGATGAATCACCAGTGTCTCTCTTGCCAATCTTCACCAAAGTGGAGGGTGTGTTTGTGTGAGTTTACATGTATTTTGCTTAGGTCAGTGGCAGGAATTCTTTTGGATTGATAATTGTTGTCAAGGAACTTCTATTTTAACAGTGAAAAGAACTCTAACCATAAAAATAACTGGAGTTTATATTTTGGTTTTATTTGGAGTTTAAAATGTTTTACGGAGTGCTTTACTCAGAACTATTTGTCTTACCTAAGTTTCCATTTCTTCATCTATAAAATGGGTTAGTAACCCTATACAGTTGTTATTTCACAACACTATCTTTTTTCCCTTATTCAAAATGTTCTTGAAATATCGCATAGTTCTAAAAGGTCCAGGTAATGTAGTAAGGATAAAATTTTGAAACATTTTTTGATGCTTTTTAAAAATTTCCTACTTTCACCTTGCAGCTGAACACTAATTGATTTGATCAATAGATTTTTGTTTGTTTGTTTGTTTGTTTGTTTTAGACAGGGTCTCACTATGTCATTGAGACTGACCTGGAACTCACAGTGTAGCCCAGGCTGGTTTCGAACTCGCAGCAATCCTCTTGCCTCAGTCTTCCGAGTGCTGGGATTATAGGTGTGCACCACCATGCCTGGCTTGATCAATAGCTTTTATTGATACTATGGCAGATGCAGTCTGGGCTCTAGAATAAATGTGTTGTGTTGTTGAGTTTATCAGAAATTTGTTTAAAAGCCAAGATTTATTGCATTTATAAAATTTCCATTTATGTATTAAGAAGAAAGCATGAGAAGCTGAGACCTGGGCTTTCATACATTGAGACCCTGCCACGTAGGAGTGGAGGGCCCCTTGTGATGTATACTGATCCTGAAGGAGACATGAAGCTTAGCAATCATGACCCAGGTGATTAAGCAAAACAAAACAAACCACTTAAGAAGGTTGTGTTAGCTTTCTGTTGCTGTGATAATACAGGAAAAGCTCAACATAATATAAGGAAAAAAGGTTTCATACATTTCAGTCCATGCTCTGCTGTCTTCATTGTTTTGGGGTCTCTGTGAGAAAGGACATTATGGCAGGGAGCTGTTCACTTCTTGGCCACCAAGAAGCAAAGAGAAAGACAAGAAGAGACCATTGTCCCATTATCTTTTTCAAGGGCACACTCCCACTGACCTCACTTCCTTCCACAAGGGCCTACCTACCAAAGGCTCCACAACCTCCCAATGGCACCACAGGCTAGGTTCCAGGACTTTAACATGTGGCCCAAACTGTGGCAACGTTGAGGATATGCAAGCAGAGGACACTCTCCCCCTTTTCCTTCAGACCCTTGAGAAACTGCCATTTGAGGGTCTCTCCACCATGCTAACAAGTGCTTGCTAGAAAGTGGTGACTTGGGAAGAAAGCCACTGTACATGTCATTACTTCTCCCTCTGGTGGCAACCGCCTCAGAATTGATCCAGGTGTGCTGGTGGGGTGACAGAGAGATGAACTGAGCTGATAGACAGGAGTCAGCATACCTTGCAAAGACCCATAGCACAAAGCAAGAGAAATCTGTAGAGACGACAGGATACACCCCTCAAGCTGACAGGATACATTGTCAAGTATCTCAGTATTAGTGGGAGCTAAGGTGAGGAAGCTAGTCAGTTGAGGGAGATGGCCGGAAGTCATCATTGCCTACTTCCTGTGCCAAGAGACCATCGCAAACTCTTAGGACACAGACTGTGAAAGGGGAGGCCTCCACATGGGGACCAAATGGGATTAACTGTGCCTCACTCAGACCTGACAGCCCACCCAGGGAGGGCAGTGACAGGAGCAGATGCTCTGCCACAGTGTGACATGAACTTATTTTTGAGGACAGTGCAGTGTAATAGGAGGAATGGGGTGAGGACAACTCCCCCAAGACAAAATTTACCCCAAATGGACTGTTTTCTGAAGAACTCAAATTATACTAAAGAAACAAGTTTCTTATTTTTTATTCTATCTCATATTTTTACCAGCATGTGAGATTGAAGACTTTGGAGCAACATGAAGTCAATTATGTGGTGGGAAAAACAATTTTTAAAAATGACTTTTTGCACATCTGTGTTAGAATGAATAAATTTCAACTCAACCACACTCCTTGGCCTTCCTCTTTGTTCCTAAGTTACACATGTGTACAGTTCTCATTTATAATGCATGTGTTTTCAGCAGTTTGTGGTGTACAGCATGCTTCCATATGTACCCTCTCATCTCTTTCTTGCTGTTACACAGGAGGTAACGTCAGCGTTGTTATGCTTATGTTGCAGGTGAGCAAAGTGAAGACTGGTCCAGGGGCAGAGTACTTCTGAGGCAGAGGAAGAAGACTAAACAGCTCCCGGCTCAGCTCCTCTTCTCATACTCAGGAATCACTGCACATGCTGTTATAGGGCCTCATTTTGTTTTCCTTTCCAAAACACCTGTGTGCTGTGTTTGCAGTGCTGTGACTCTGGCTACTCGTCAGGCCCTTTTACATATTTCTTTTTCACTTAAAGAAATATTATTTCAAAACTTTATTAGGGTGTAATTTAGATGAAAATATCTTATTATCTAGCATGCAACTAAATTCTTCCAGTTTAGTTTGTTTAGTTGAAATCTTTCTGGAAGAATCTGTCTTACATCTGGGCAATACAAAAGCAATAGCCTGTGGAAAACGCGTTCTGATCATATCATATCCTAGGAAAGATGGAGAGAACAATAAAATTCAGTCAATATTTTATAAATTCAAGGTCAGCCTTCTGTGTCACTGTCAACAGTGGATGAGTCCCAAAGGATTTCTGTTACTATTAAATTAGAAATGATCCACTTTTATTTTAAGTATAGTGGATTTCTCCATTCAATAGACGGGGAAAAAAAACAAAATAAAAAGTCAAGAGAGCAGAATTATTTTGTAAGATAATTGCAAACCACTTATGTGTTTCAATACAAAGCAGTAGAGACCGTCTTATCTCTGTGGCTATTCATCCGTATCTAGCTTTAGTGAATTTATGGCTGAGATTCTTCACCTAGATCCCTGAGGAGTTATGTTGCATCCCTTTGCCCCACCTCACCAGGTGCATCTCAGGAAAATGAATGTACGTGATGCATCTGTTATTCATATCTGGATAGAAATGGGTGCTGTTATGATTTGAAAGTGGTTGTACTTTTCTTCTCAGAGATGTTCCCCTTTGTATATGCTTGTATAATATACATGGCCTTTCATTGTAAGCTTTTTATTCATAAAGGAATCTAATTGAATTGGTTAAGAAATATATCTATAGGGTTTTCTTCAATGGTGATTTTCATTGCTAATATGTTTTGTAATCAGCCAAGTTTATGGGTAACCCAATTTGTGTGTTTGCTGAGTGGTACATTTCAGTGTGCTTTTCCTTCTTTGCTTAGGGATTTTTATTTTCTGTCAGGATCAGTGGACAATATAGTACCTCCACCATTATACAACAGTATTTAAATGCTTTCCTTTAGGATGTTAAGAGACTGGGTTGGCCCTGTGACAAAAACTTTTCAAAGTCAAACTGAATTTAGCCTTAGAGTGGTGCAAGTTTTCATCTTAAATTATTTTGCATTTTTTATATTCATACTTTTAGAGTCTTCAAAATTTCTCCAGCCCATCTCCACTGATCACCACCAACAAGAGGGTGTAAGGTGGGTAAATCCATGTTTTTTTGGTGTTCACAATCGCTGGCCTTTTGTTATAGACGTTAAATTTGTCATTAGTTTGCACAGATAAACCAATTTTTAAAATGCTAGGTAAGTAAATTAAATCTACTTACTTACCAAGTTGGACAAATGGCAACACAATATATATATACTACCTAGAATTATTTGTTGGAACATTTATTGCTAGCCAGGGAGATTTCTACTGTTAAGAAGCCCAGTTGATTTATCAGTTTCCCGTCTTGTTACTTAACTCAATGTCTATAATACCCACTAATCATTCTTGCTACTGATAATGACCCCATTAGGCAACATGTAAATATAACGCAAAATATACTTCACTGTGTTAAAAAATTGAAATGCCTGTTTTTAGTTCATGTAGATTGTATTTTGCAATCAGTTCAGAACTATAGTTAAATAACTTGAGTTATTGCTGGGGTAACAGCATAAGGGAAATACTGAAACATAAAGAGAATGCAAGGGGACAGGTAGTGATATACTTATAAAGAGTGCTCTTCTATTATTGTGAGATGAGGATTTTCTTCTTACTTTCTATGTATAAAGTGGTTTATATGCAATTATGTTCCCTTTGGTTCTATTTTTATTTGGCTCTGGCAGTGATACCATTGTTTTCCTCCATTTTTTGACACAAGAATGATGTGAACTACGAAGCCTGCCAATAACCTTTGGGCTATTTAAGTAGGATAAGAGAGTAAGCCAGACCTCAAGCATTTTTGCATCTAGATCTAAAAAGTAGCACTTATGGATATGAACCCTCTATTCCATGTCTTTCTTGGAACTATTGTACACATGCTTCAGCAAATTTTGATGTGTCCTTTGATGAGGAAGTGACTGTCCCTTTCTTGTGTCATTTCCTGGCCCTGGAGCCTTGTTTACACTAGAGTCCTTTGTTAACAATTGGACATAAAGGTCTTTGATTCTGGGGAGCCCTTCTCTGACTCATTATTAGCCCACACTTTGTGTCTGGCTGGAAGTGTTTCCCTCATTCAGCATTTCGCAATCTTCCCCATTCCTTGTGCCTCAGAATCAAATGACTCTTCATGGTGAAAAACAAAGTCTTGGCCTAGAGTAGTAAGATGACCAATCCCTAAACAAGGCAAACTGCAGAGGATTCTCCCATCTTCACTATGAAGCGTACTGATTTTTTTGTTTGTGAACAATTTGTTTTTGGAGAAAGTATTCTTCAAAATTTGTTTTCAGTATAGGCAAACAATCAATTATAGTTTGTGGTTCCCCTTCTTAATTAATAAGGTTATGAAACATTTGAAAGCAACTGAGGCTCAGCACAGCGTCACAGAGAAGGTACTGAGTCACCATGTGAGTATCCCATCTAGGTGCTCATTGGACCATTGACTTTTCTTGTCTGTCACCTCTTCTTAGTCTATGACCTTGTAATCATATATACCCACAGGGTTGATGCAAAATGTAAAGTGTATAAAATAACTTGTTAGAGTGTAAATCCCCTTTTAAAAGCCTAAAGGGTTTGCAGTTATTATGTAAGAGAAGTTCAGAGTAACTTCTCTTAAAAATTGAAGTACAGTATTTTAGAGGGAGTGATTTGGTTAATATTGACTTCAACTAATGGAATTTTCAATAGCCAAATTGCAACATTTTTCTTACTTCTTACTTTACCTTTTTAAGGCCATCCCACTATATTGGAAAATTGTCTGTCCCCAACCATGGACTTAAAAACTGAACTGAGTTTGAGTGAGTTGTTTCTCCTTCAGTGAATTGTGAGCACTGTGTTTTGAGCAATTTGTTCCTCTGGTTGGTTTCTACTCTGTCATTTATCCTCATCTACAGTCCTTTTACCATTGAAGGAAAAGCAATGAGGAATTTCCTTTGTTTCTGCTGAAGGTTTTTTTTTTTTTTTGATTGATTGTTTGTTTGTTTATTTTGTGGTACCTGGGATCAAACTTGGGACCTTGTGCTTGTGAGGCAGGCAGCAACACCACTGAGCTAAATCCCTTGCTCTGCTGAGTTTTTGATGAACATACACAAACTTTTTTCTTTTAAGAGGCAAGTATTTAATTTGGAAAAAAATGTAATGTATTTTGAAACTTGGTGACGGGCTCACCAGTTAAGAAAATTATAAATAAAGTTGAACTTTGGAGCCAAAATGATTGTTAGGGCTCATCCTTTTAATGATGAAAGTCTTAGCTTTATAATCTCATTTGGCAAAGATGAAATTGTAACCTGGGGAGATGCCCTACCAATCTTCATCCATAATTCTGAATTGAGTCCAAGACAGATTATGCTATCTGAAAATGATTTCTCATCCTTTCCTTCCAGTCTGTGACCTCTACCTCAAGAATTCAGTTTGGAAACATTGAACAACCCAAAACTGTTCAGAGAAGCATTCCTTTTTAAAAATTACAGTCATTAAGGTGTAACAGCATATGGGCTCAAGGGGTAGCCAAGATGCTCAGTGGTTTCTTGTTCATTAAAACTGAAATATTTATATGAGCAATAATAATAACAGCATATTTCTGAGTCTGTATGAAATTGAGCCCTGATGCAATTAGACAATATTGACAGCCCTATTGTAATTATGCAAATGACACCTAGTTCAGCTCTCCCTTTATCTTTCATTTTCTTGTGCATGGGTAAGAAGGGATCTAGAAAATCAGTAAATGCTAAGCAAGAGTATTTGGCTGTTTAGTTATGGGACAGAGTGGCCTGAAGCTTATTTCTTTCTGAGTTATTTTTTCACCCAAATTACGTGAGTCTCCTGGGTCGCACAGAAGGGCCCTGAAAATGTGTGTTGCTTTAGGAGTACAAGATGACGGAGCGTGTGACCGCCTCTCAGGTCCATTCTGAGTTCTTTCATTTCAGAGCCATGTGTTTGGGTCCCCCTTGATTAATACTTGCACTTTTTTCTTATCTTATGAACAGGTAATTTTAAATTGTTCTCCATAGGGGTGTGTTCTGTGTCTAGCTGCCTATCAGCCTTTCCATCTCAGTGCAGAAGTATTTGATTAGAGTATTTGAAGTAATAAAGATGTCAACAGTTGTGTCACCTTGATTGATGCTAATTATAAGCCTTTAGTGGTTCCTCTGCTTTGGCCACTGTCCCTGCAGATTGTGAGTTTTGTGGGTAAAATAGTGCCCTGCTGTCCAAAGGCTTAATCATAAATTCTAGTCTATCTTTCCTTAATGATTCTGCATGCAGTGGTGTCATCCTAGTAACATACATTATCTTCGTTAAAAGCAAGCAGTGACTTTCATAGTGGCGATTAATGCATATATAAAGTATTTCAAGAATCCTTCTTGGTATCACAGCAGAAGTTGTGATGATTGTACTTGTTGGGCTTTAAAATTAGCATCAGTATTACATATATTGTCTGAAAATAAGTGAATATTTTCATGCAGTCCCTATTTAGCATGTTAGTGTTGGAATCAGACCATAGCTATGTAAAAGGTAAAAAGACAGGCTTTGCACAGTGAAGATGCTGTCAGCGCGTAGCTTTCACACCAGTGAAACTCAAAGTGAGTTAAATTACATGGAGGCTTTCTTTGTTTTGAACAATTTCTTAATAGATTTGGGAGAATCACTCAATTTGAAATATCTATTGATTAAAATATCTCCTACACTGAGGTTTTTCTGACTGAATTTTCACAGAGTTAATATATGTTTAGTCTTTAATTTTCTCACTCAAGCCTGAGGATGGAGTTTTAAGTATGAGGAAAGGTAACAACTAGTAATATACACATTTCTGTGACATTCAAGATATGGGTAATTTGCTTATGTAAATATATACCCATGTGTACCACACACAATAGAACCTCTTTGAAATGCCATATCTTATCACAGAAAGGCTTCACATAAATTCAAAGGCTCCTCTGTTGTCCTATAAGAGTTACTGTATTTACCTTCACAGCATGGATCTCCTTGCACACAGTAGATATTTTAAAAGACTTTCAATGCTATTGAAAAGAGCACTAGCCATGTAAGAATAGTTTTGAACTAATATTAGTGTGCACCTGTTTTCTCCTGTTCATTTTATTTTATGCTTACAAATCAAGCTAGATGAGCATCAGTCTTTTTAATAAAATGTTAAAAGTTTTGTAATTACTGCTTTCCTCTAGATTTACATTGTCTTAATGACAATGCCATTTTTGAATGTTTTCTATTAGCTCTAATTCCTTATATCTAGACAGAACTGCTCTTTAACTTCTAGTAAGGAAAAGATACTTTATAGATTTTGAATCACACTCGTTTTCAAATAATGAAATGCCAGATTGCATTATAGGAAGACAGTTTCTTCCCAGTTGATGCTGGCTAAAGAGAGAAACTACAGAATTCCTCCAAAGCCAAATTCAGGAGAGTAGTCCACTGGAAATAGCTTTTAACATTTCTGGGGAGGCTCCAATTATATATAGTTCTGAGTGATAAAAACATCTAACTCCCTTTTTTAAAACATTTGTTAGGTTGTAGAGTGTTTATTAGAAGACTTCTAAATTTGTAAGCATTATATTGGAAAATCTTTAACATCTAATTAGCGTTTACAATAATGACTTACTGCAAGTATTTTATTTCACTATAACGTAGTTCAAGGTAGCTATTTGAATGTTAATTTTTATATGACCTGTTGTATTAACCAGTGATGATACTTGCTGAGCCAAATGTACAATTTTTACTAGAGTGAAAATGTGGAAACAAACACAGAGCAACATGCTAAATATAGGTGGGCCAGACAAGGGAATTGGAAAGCTTGGGGTGAACCAGGAGGACCAGGAGGAATTGAACTAGCACTGCATGGGCGAGAAAATTAGTAAAGGAACCTATGGAAATACCAGAAGTGATGTGTATGGTAATTAGTCCCCGTGAAGAGACAATACACAACCCTCCAATCTGTCTACTTATTCTCACCAATGTAGCAGTCCACTTCTTCTGGTTAGTGAATGTTATCACAAAAACCAGAGTGGAGACTCTTCAGTGGGTGCCAGTAATCAGTGGCTGCCACAGGAATCTCAGCATTGGATTGACATCGTGTTTAATTCTGTGAAGAGAATTGCAAGCTGCTTGATCAGAGGAAGTGTTAGGTGTGTTGCTTAGTCTCTCTTGCTATGTGATTATTTTCTTTTATAGGTTTGATAAATTAACATTGGCTCATGCATTCAATAGGAATCTGTCTCTCTCTCTCGCTAAGGCCTTAGGGCTTCTGTTTAAAAATGCAGGTTAATTCTCAGGGGCTTTCCAAAGTATTTCTGCATCATACTACTAATTAAGATAAGGTTATCATTTTAAGTTATACCAGGAATGCAATTAGAGCTTCCAGTGAGAACGGTAGCAATCAATTTTATACAAATTATTCAGACCTGGTAAGGTAGAATACAGTTTTAATAGAACAAGTGAACATACTGTGATTTATTAGATATAGTGTGATTTCAAAAGACACCTGAACACAGCATCTGTAACCCATTGCGTAGCCCAAGTTACTGGAAATCCAGTTCGTCGAGGGAGGTTTAATAATATGCCTTCCATTTTCCATTGTTTGGTGACTGTTATGTGGGATTTGAGAGGGATTTTTGTTTTTAGATTTGAATGGTGTTAGACATGAAAAAGTCATCTGTGGAATACAAAGTACAGATCAGCAGGCCCTCTCCTTCGTCTACACAGATGCACACGGCAGACCAGCCTGCCAGTCTCGGCTGCCTTTTGGTTTTGTTTCCTGTAGTCCTCAGAGTCCAGAAGACCAGCTGACAGTGTAATTAACTAATTTTTCTGTACTGTCCATCTCTCCTAAGAGTATTGGGTGTTGGGTAAGAAGCTTCCACATCTTATCCACCAACTGTCTGTAATTACTTATTCATCGAATGGATACCTGTTTTCTAAGAATGACTGTGGACTGCAAGGTTGAATAGCTCCTGAGGAAGTTGTGTATCTTTCCCTCCTAAGATCACTGCAGGTCATCCAGAGAGCTCCATTAGGGCATATAAATAAATTATAGCTCTTCTGGGCTTTCTTTCCTAAGACATCTTCAAAACACCTTTACTATTCCCTAGTTAGCTTTCATTTTCATTTGACATATCAGCTATCCCACATTTTTTCTTTGTGCCTTTTTTCTCAAATTGCAGTTGTTCATTTGATGTGTATGTACTGAGCCTTCACTGTGTACCATGCATTGTGCTAGGGTTGGGGCACATGGTGATGAAAAAGAAGACATGGTGCTAGTCTCTGCCACGGAAGCTTGCTTCTTCTACTTCTGCCATTAGGTGTGGACCATCCCTCTGAGCATGTGTGACCTCAGTGGAGAAGATAGATACCCTCCGTTTCATTGCTTCCATCCTCTCCTCCGTCTCTACTGCTGTCCACATCTGGAGGGTTCACTTTTGCCTCTATCTCCTCCATAAAATTACCCTGATTAATATTCAGTTACTCAGTTATTTACCCTTCCTCTCTCTTCATCTCAGTCTTTCTTATTGGTCACTTTCTTCCCGTCAATCAGCAAACATGCTCAAACTTGATATTCAACCCATCCATGAATAATAAGTAAAACTCTATTGTCTTACATCTGTTCTTCATTCAAGCATCTTAGTTGCTAGCTTCTTGAATGTGTCTCTGCATAGGTTCCTTCTTTTCTTCCTCATTTTATCCCAGAAGTCTAGATTTGGGACTTCAAATCCACAAACCAGTGAACACCAGTGGCTGAGGTCTAGCATTCCCTCCACCTGACCTCTTCATCGTACTGGGAATTGTCGCCTCTTTTTTATGTCTGGAATGTAGCTGCTTGCTTGAATCTGTGATGTCATTCCCTCTTGACTTTCCTTCTAACTCTGATCCTTAGTATCTTGGCTGAGTTGTCCTTCTTTGTCAACCCTTTAGTGATAGTATCTCTGGGTGTTTCAACTTTAGTTTCCTTTATTTTAGTTACTTGATGTGGAACCTTCTCAAAAGAAGATGCTTCAGAGATGGACTGGAAATGCCTTGATATTATTTACCACGAAAATGATGTAGCTATGGGTATGTACATTTTTCTCAGGAAATTGTGTGTAGCCTTTATGTGATTTTCAAATCATGCCAAGGACCACATCTTGGTTATAACCTCCATGACACCTTCTATTTCCATGGCATCCACTGCCAACTCACTCCCCATCCTGTGCTGTGTTCTTGCTCAGGTCAACTGACACATTGTTCTTGACCCAGGTTCTTGGAGGATCTGTCTGTGTCTTTTCCTTCTATAATCAGTTATATACCAACTTCTTCCAAAAATGGGATTCACACACTAATTGGCTTATCACTATTTTATCTTAGATTCCTGACGTCTATTTCTTGTCATCCTGCTCTAACCTGCATAATATATCCAGAAATACGTGTGGATATATGATAAGAGCTTCAACTTGCTCATATCACTCTCCAACTTAATTTTCTTCAATACATTCTTTCTCTTCTCCCAACAAGGTTAAATTCCAAGTGAGAAATCACTTGGTTTGTGAAAGCCTTCAAAAGGATTCCTCGTACTTATATCATTCTCCCTTGATTTATCAGCAATGTGGACACTTTTCAGACTCCAGTTGAACGATGTTGCTGTTTTCTCACTCTGGAAGAAGCCCTCTCTCTTACACAGAGATGACTCCTAAATCTCTTCCAGGGCCCAGCTTGCCCACTTGGCTGTCAGTGAAGTTCTCCCTGGCCTCAAGGAGAGGCTAGCTAATCTCTGCTTTCATCCTGAACCTGTTGTTGCCCTGAGGACCACTCTGCATCTTAGCTTTGTTCTTCTGAACTGCCTGCCTTACTGTGTGAGAAGTCATGGAGTCAGATGCAACTTTCTTATCTGAACATCTTCAAGGTCAGTGCTTCAGGAACTGCTTTTTGGGGACACATCGTCCTAACTTCACCTGGGTCAAACAAACAAATCAGCCTCTTTAGATTCCTTTTTGAGTGGCCTTCCAGTGCTGAGGTTAAAACCTTGAATTTCCCAGTATGGTACATCTTACACTAATATATGTCACACATACTCTGTGTGGTAGTGTATGTTACCTGCTAGGATCTATTTGTAATGTACGTTTCCAGCCTGGATCTATTTGAAGCAAGATGAGCACCATGTAGAGGCGTATTATGTATTTCCTGTGATATATTTTTTAAAGGAATGTAATTTCTGAGTACAATGGCAAATGCTTCAAGATAGTTGATGTATGACTTCCTTTAAATTTTCAGGGCTGAGTTGGTTCTGTATTTTGAAACTTGCCATCAACTTTGCATATTGTGCAAGGGGAGATCTCCATTCCCCTCCTCCTTGGTTCTTTTTCTCTTTGCTTATGGCTAAGACAACATCAGACCATAGCAATTGATATCTCTGGGCCTTAAATTTCATAGTGTCATACTTTAATAAAAATGATGGATCTTTCTCTCTCAGAGAGCTTGTTAGATATGTTAGGTAATTTATTAACAAGACCTGTCCTAAGGAAATATATTTTTTCTCCTATCACTATCTTAGTAGCATTTTTTGGTAGTGAGAAAACTGGGTCACAGAGAAGCTAAATTACTTTCCATGAGTTTATGTCAGAGACCCATAAGTGTGATATCATTAAAAGTTATGGCAAATTTCTTCTAGAAAAAAGAATCTTATTAATGCGTATCAGTACCTGAACCTTAAGACAATCAGGTAAATAGTTTTATCTAGCTCCACTATCCAACCATGAATCCAGGACAAAGGTTATCTTGTCACCCTCCCTTCTTTTGCTCGATATATTTAATGTAGAGAGAGATGAGGAGGATTCTTATCCAGATTTTCTATGAAAATGTTTGAAAAATAATTCAAATATAAGTTAGACTAGAAAGACTGAATTTTCTTTTTAAAAGCTTCATCTTTCTTTCTGAATGTTCTTAAAATACGAAAGGAACTACTTCTTAGACGGCGTTATGTAAATTGAGGTTTGGACATTCTAGGTTTTTGTTGTTGCTGTTGTTGTTTTTACCTTTTTGGAATACTAAAGTCTTTATTTCTGTTTTTTCAGTCCCTTCATATTTGGATTTGAATAGAGAATTTAAATCTAAGCCACTCTCTCTCTTACCTGGAACTTTTATCTTAAACCTCCTTTCACCCTAGGAAGAATCCTGTTGCAAATCATCACATCACAGTTGTGCTGCTGTCCCTTGTTGCCAACAACTCTGTCTTGCGAGTGGACGTTTTACTCTGAGACTATTTTGACTTATCTTGCATGGAGCTGCCCCATGTGTATTCTATCTTGTAAAAGCCTAGTTTTCCAAAGGCTGTAAGGCTAAAAAAGATGGACTTTTCTGTTTCCTGGAAGGAATTTTGAAAGCTTAAACCATGATTTCCTGGAATATATGATATGTGGGAGATCCCAAGCCTTCTGACCACAACCGTGAAGTGCCTGCAAATCACTGAGTGTCGTGTGCTATAATTGAAAGTGTGTTTTATGATCACTAATCCTTTCCTTGCAAGGACTGATTGGCACGTTGAAGAGGCTAAGGAACATGGACTCATGGGCTAACTGCTTTTAACATTGCTGCATTATAAGCCAGGTAAATCAAGGGCTCTCTGCTTCTGCCTTGAAAATTGGGCCTGTTGTCTGGATTCCAGTGACTGTTCTCCTGTTCCACTCTGATTCTTGAATACAGCATCTGGTACTCCTGGGTTTCTTCTCATAGCTCTCCTGAAAAATTCTACTCTGTCTTTGTGATGCTCCAGTCAAGGTACAAATGGCCATTCAATGCCTGTTTGTTGAATCACAGAATGGACCTTGTATACTGTACATCAGCTGTCTGTTTTTCTGCCCATTCCGTGTCCTGATTCAGCAATGACAACCCCAGCAGACTGAAGCCTGATGCTGTAAGCATTATCTTTGCAAGATTATTTTCATTGGAGTCTCATTCTTATAAATCAGCCCAAATGTCCTAACACGTGGTGCCACATTAATTATTTGAAGACATTTAAACAATGTTACTAGTCCGTGGACATAACGATAATGCTTACCGTAATGTCTTGGCTATAAGATGGACTACTAAGAGTTAAGCTGAATAAATCTCCATAAAATGAATATGATTTTTTTATTAGTACCAGTTAACCAAAATTTTTCTGTAAATATCTGACTCAAGAAATTTCAGAGGCCCTAAATACTAATCAAGGTGGTCTCTATGAAAAAATCTGAGCGGCGGGACTGGAAAGTAGTTATAATTTGCTAATCAGAAACATAATCAGTGTTTTAGCTCCTCTTTTGGAAAAGGATGTATGAATATAAACAGAATAGTGACTAAAAAGTATAGAAAGGAAAATCGCAAACACAAATGTTGTTGATCCTCGTGTAACACTCTTGTGGAACAGAAGTCTTAAATAAAGGATTTGAACATTTGCAACAAGACTGCTGATAAATGGAGCATCTATTGTATTCTAGGTATGCACTAAAAACTTACCTGTACTGTTCTCATAAATCTTCAGCCTTCAGTGGTACTGTTGCATTTTGAAGCACCTGCATTGTACAGATCAAGGAAATTAAGTTAAACTGCTTATTACCCAAGGGTTCAGTTATAGAGATGAGTTTTCAACCTAAGTTCTAGGGTTTCAAAAACCTCTGTCTCACAAATAGTGCTATTTGACTTTCTTATAACAAGACTGTTTTCCAGATAAGAGACTTAAGGTCTCCTTATCCACATATGTGATTAAGACAACCAAGTCATAGAAGATCTCATCATGTCACAAAACCCTTATATTCCCACCTCAGCCCCCTGGAAGCCATTAGTCTGCTTTTTGTTTCTATCTACATTTTTATGTAAGGCTCACCAACCTGTAGTGACACTTTGTCTGGGGTGAAAATAAGCATTGATCTGCTTGAAAAAAAAATCTAGTTGAACTGAAAGTTGGCTATCTTATTACAAATTAATAGATCAACATTCTGATTAGAATGTGGCTTTCTATATTTGGTTAGTAAGAAAGTTGATTGGCACACTAAGTACAGGTATCTGGCTCCTTGGAAATGCTCTTTATAAATTAAAATGTTATCGGCATGTTGCTGTATTTGTAGGAGTGAGTAATATGAATCTGGGTATAAAAATATGACCATTACACTACAATGGCTTCTTTAAATATGATTCAAATTTATATTGATAAAAAAATAGTATGACTAAAAGCAAAAGCACATCAAAGCAAATAGCTAAAGATCACATTGAGTTTCAGAATGTTGTTTGTCTCAGTGTTTCAAACAGAATTTGCTCAGCCAGCCTGCATGTATTAAACATCTTTACCGGGCTAGAAAGTGGACGCACTCATGGGATGTGTGGCAGAACTTAGAACACTCATCTGTGAACAAGTGCAATGTGTCTGAAAGATAAGAGATGTGGCAAATGGAATTATGAAAGAAAGAGGGAGCACCCCCTGTACCCCCCAAATAAGGAAGCCACCGTGAGAATGGTATGAGAACACACAAGTGAACGAGGCGGGGTCTCCTAGTAGTTTCTGTGACATGTACTACAAAGAGCACCATTTCACTTCTGGCTCTCTATAAATACACAAATATGCTATTCTCTCTATGCTTTTCTCTCATGTGTTCTCACTTACGTCTCCATGGATCCTTTCCATTGGCCTTTAAACTTTATTATAGCACTGGGCCTATAGCTCACTGGTAGTGTGGTTGCCTAGCACGCATTCCATTCCCAGCACCACAAGCAACAACGACAAACACTGTGCCAGTGAGAGTGGAGTGTTGGTTTGATTGGCTTTGGATTGGTGGAGCTCACTTCTGAGTGTGTCGTGGAGGCATGAACTTGGGGTCTATGTATAGTCCCCTACTCTGCTTCCCAGTCACCAGGAACTAAGCAGCTTTGCTCCACTGTGCCTTTCTGTACCAAGATGTTCTTGCCTTGGTGCGAGGTGACCGTAGACTAAATATTCCAGATCATTAACTAAATCAAACTTTGCTTTAAATTGTAGGTGTCAGGTATTGTGTCTCATGGATGGGAAAACTGATTCATAAAGACTTTTGGTAACTGAGAAATGGAATCATTGCTATGAGTGTACCTGGACATGTAGTTTAGAAGCCTTTGGAACTAGTTTCTGGGAGGAGTTTGGAAAGGTTTGGAAATGCAAGCTAGAGAATCCCAAGAATGCTTTAAGAAGAACTTGATAGGTGATTCTGGCCAGAGCTCAAAAGACCAGGATGTTGAAAGGAATGTGAATAGTAAGGCCGAAGCTTAGGAGGTTTCAATTAGGAGGGAGGACTTCTTTGACGGTTGGACTAGAAGCCATTTGTGTTACAGTCTGGAAAAAATCTGTTCACATGTTGCCGATGTCCTGAGACTTTGCAGGAAATTTATGTTAAGGCAGTGGACTATTTTATCTGATGGAAGAAATTGCAAGACATCCCAGCATTCAGGCCGTAGCATGGGTACTGCTGGCTGGTTCTAGGCAGATTTATAATGAAGATCAGAGGCAAAAGACAGATTAGAAAAAAATAAGAAAAGCTTAAATTTTAGTCCAGAGGAACCATATGTAAAGTTGTGGCAAAATGAGATGTGGTTGCTGAAGCGACTATTACAATTGAAAAGAAAGCAAGTACTTTGTACAGGAACAGAAAGAAAGACACCTTGAAGTACCTCATGAATCAGCAAGACCCCAGCTGTGGCAAATTCAAGGGTGCAAAAGTATAACTCATTTCTTTCACTGACAGCAGGCTTTGGCATTGTACACAAATGCAAGAGTTGTTAGGTCAGGGAGATGGCTTGTTTGCTTGTTTGTGTGTTTGTTATGCAGTACTGGGAATTGAACTGAGGGCCATCGCACTGAGCTACACCACCAGCCTTTATTTTTATTTTGAGACAGAGTCTCACCATATGTCCAACTTGCCTGTGCTGGGCTCCAACTTATGATCCTCCTGCCTAAGCCTCCCAGAGTGCTGGGATTGCAGGTATGCACCTCTGTATCTGGAAAAATGCTCATTTTAAGAGGCTAACCTGATCTCCCCTTAGCTTCATATCTTCGCATGGTTTCTTATTCCTCTTAGAATAATAGTTTAAGTTCTTTTTATGGTCTACTAGGCTTACTATCTGAGGACCCCAAAGCCCATCTCCCGTCTCATACCCTTGCTCCCTTTTCTTTAACTATGCCTCTCGACTCTCTGCTACTTACGCATATCCTCCTCTGCACCACCAGAGGACCGCTGTACGCACAGCTCACCATGCGGGAAAGCTCTTCCTGCCTCCCTCTGCTCCATCTACTAGTAAATTCTTATGCATCCCTTAAACCTCGTCTCGGAACTCACTTATTCAGGAGAGCCTTCCCTAATCTTATAGTCTACTTCAGATAACTGTGTTACAATCTCCATACACTGTATTCTGCTTCAGAGTATGCCCATCGATTTTCAGTTAGAGTTTAAAAGAGTGCTATCATACTCAGTGATTTTCTAGAAGCACTCACAGTGTTCAAAAAATAAATCTATACTGATGGTCACAACTTATTCCAGTAGAAAGATACAGATTCAAGGCAGAAAAAGAAAGTGCGAGCAGGTTGGAGTTGGGGAACTAGCACAGGCTTCCAGGTATCTTCTCCAGTGGAGTTGCTGGGACAGTACTTACTTGTCTCATCCAATCAAGGAAACTCACCTGATTTTCAGGTGCTAGGTGCTACTGGAGGCCAGGGAGGAAGGCATGGAGCATCTTAGCTCCTCAGTCTCCACTGTCCAGAGATGAAACTGGCCCAGTGTGACCCAAAGCCTCAGATATGTGGGAACAGCCATCACTGCAAATTACATTATTGGTGTGAACTCTTCTGAAGAGGTATAAGGTCTCAGGCATTAAAAAGATCCTTTATCTTTGCCCAGAGCTCAGAGGTCATCTTGGAGGACCCACGCCAAGAGCAGTCCTGCAACCTTGGAATGTGCAGGGTTTGAGCGGCCAAGGCTTGCTGCACTAACTCTTTGCTGCACTAACTCTTTGCTGCACATGTTTCAACAGTGCCATTTACTTGATGAATGTCTCTTTTCTTGCGGAAGACATGAGAACAGTGCTTGCAACTGTTTCTGCTCAGCATGATATTCAGAGTCCTTAACGTGGTTACTGACAGACAGGAGGTGCTCTGTATTTGTTGAGTGAATGAATAAAGGAATAATATCTACTTTCTGTTGTCATTATTTCCTTTCATAATATACCATAGTCTGTCTTTCTGCCCATCCCCATTACTTTCGTGAGTTTTTTTCCTAATTATGGACCTTGATATGTGACTGAAACCTAAAGTTATTTTGTGCTACTGAATAATATGTAGTAAGTACCTAAAATATTATATTCCTCTAACTTTCAATTATATTCTTATACCTCCAGGTATTATACTATCCCAATTTAAATACTTTTTAATTTGCAAGTGTTTTTCACAGTTATAGTTGAAATACATGTAGTCCATATGTCAAATTATGTGATACCCATTTCTATTATCAAAAAGTCATTTGTAAAAGAGTGGGATGTTGACTCGGCACCTGCCATAAGACTTTCAGTAAGGAAATTAACTTTGAAACATGACTTTA